CCTTCATAAGGGGTTCTGATATCTTCATCTCTTCAGCCTTGTACATCGGTGTCGTTCGGGTAAAGCCGTTAGTCATCAAGCGCGGTTTCGTCTCTGCCATCGAGCCAGTTAGTTCGGTTCGAAAGAAAGACACACCTTCGCCATTTCACTTTTCTTCTCAGGATGTCAATATGCGTAAGACGCAATGCCCAGGGTTCTCACACCACATATCACGGGAGAAAATCTTGTACTCTCGGGTCTCCACACTTGCCAAGGGGGAATCTCGTCTCGTCTCTCTATCTCGTCCCCTTGAGGTACGGGATCGTGGAAGTCACTTATACTTTACAGTCAAATAAGACACACACAACGAAATACGTTTCAGCTCTCGTCTTAGTCGATCAGTCGAGCACTCTACAAGACACAGCGCGCTGGGGAAAAGTCCCCAAATCTATCGCAAGGCTGAACCAAGACTAGCCCAAGACTGTGCTTAGACTCGCCCCAAGGCTCTCCAGGACTCCTCGCGACTGCATCTATCGTGCTGTGCTCCCCAAGACCAACTCAAAACTCTCTCTATTCATTTTCAAAACTCTAACCAATAACAATGCAGTAAAAAGACTCTAGGGCGTAACCTTCAATCATAAAGCCAATCACACTAAGTACTGAATACGTCATATCTTTTGATTAATCGTTCACTACATTAATAACTATGGATATAAACTGTCAGAATTAATAGTCTAAATAGCGGCGGTTATCTGGTAATTAGTTCCAAATCACTGAGCCAAGTTCCGTCCAAAACTTCAAATAGGCCTAAACGATGACAGACGTAACACAGCAATTCGCTAATAATCAGCTAATTAAGTCGGTTAACAGATACGCAAAAACAAATTCATGACAATGTCCCCCTCGATAATAGATTGTGTGAATACTGTGTTGAACGAAATCAACTTTATGTTGAAGACGAATATCATTTTATAGCTATTTGCCATCGTTATCAACGTATTAGAGTAGATTGTTTGCCTGTATGGTTTTGCACCAACCCCACTTACAACAAATCTATCTCGCTCATGAGTTTAAGAAACGATGTAATTTTAAACCAGTTAGCGAGTTATGTATATTTTGCCATGAAAAGCAGAACTTTAATGATTTTTGTTTTCTATATTGTTACAATTGTTAAGTGAAACTGTATTTGCTCTTTGGGCCCTTTGCTTTGCAATAAATATATACATTCAATAAATATATACATTCACATAACAAAGTAGATGCACATGGTTAAAAAGTACAACATAGCGATGTTAACGAACAACATGAAATGGTAAATTCATCACATAATATGATACTATCATGCTTCGCCTCGGTTGACAATAAGCTCTTTTCCGGACCACGCTCGCAGAGCTGAATGCATGTATGAACACAAATATACAAGTTGAAAGAGTTCACGAGCAGTGATTGAATTCAGAGTTTGCATTAGAGAGCAGAGTTTGCATTAGAACACTGAAACGGGCTTCACAGGGCTGCACAATGCTTGGGTATAGGTTTATGTCAACATCATTCTCAAATACACTGTACATAATAAGTCGATATACTGTCAAAACACACAAAATACGTAACAAAAACAAAACAAAGTCCACGACTATCAAATTCTTTAGGTAGACGAACTGCGCAATCGCAGATCGAATGTCTCAAAGCGCGTGGCAAAACTGACGGAAAGCACGACTAAAAATCACGCGAAATCACTACAAAATCAGCTAAATTCGAGAGGAAGGTGCCCGGATGGAGGTAGATCGTACGAATATGTCAACAGGCTTTCATGGCCATGAGGTATAATATTAGTAATTGTATGTTTACCATATCTGTAAATACATTGGATGAAATAAATTACTAACGTCTTATCAACAAGTTAAGGAAAACACTTTGAAGCATGGTAAAGACATTGTAGAACATTTCGTTATAATGATGTAATTTAAAGAACACATTATTCCGAACTTTCATATGACAATTCAAAATTAGATTCCAAAATTATAATTAAAATCATCATAATGACATTTTTCAAAACGTATTTGCAGCAAAAATATATTGACCATTATTTATGTCATAATACCGTTTTCACATTTGTTGCCGTTATGATTACGTTTTCGTTTTCTGCAATTGTGTAGTTTTATATTATATATTGTGTGCCCGATAACACAATTGTATTTTTTCCCACGGATGTGGCGTTTCAGATTTTATTTTAGGGACATTGTGAGGTTTAGATGAGTGAGCCTTACTCACCGAATCTCTGGAAATCAGTTTCATATCAATTGACTTGTAAAATGTATTAATATTATGTTGATCATTGTTTCAGTTCGATTGCGTTAACAACAAAAAGTTGACATACGAGGACCATATAAGCGATCACAACAACCCAGAAAAAATGTTTGTTTAAGCACTTTAGCCGCTAAAATCAAATAAGTTACTTCCTGGCCAAGAACTGTGTTATATATATGCAAAGTAATATACGTGCAAATTATGGTGATTATGGTGGATGACAATCACAGCCTTTTCGAGCGACGTTGCTTTAATGTCACGACACAGCGGATTACTTAGTTGAAATAAAAGTGAGCTTATATATTTCCGATAAGCATATGTCTGACCATTATCAAAATAAAAGGAAATGTGTGGTTGGTTACGAGAACGAGTAAGTAAGCGAACTCAGACAAGTGTTTCCCGAAGTACCACAATGTTGCCTATCCTTGTACCATCATGTGAGAATCAGAACGTACTACACATAAGGAGTAGCTCCCAGCAATACATGTAACTTATGGAGTTCACACCGGAGCAGGTGAACTTTGTTGAGTAAATCAAGTAATATGTCAGAAAGGTGGGAGTTAGGAATTCAGATACTGGCAAAATATATGTTGTTTGAAAAGCGCCTAAAGTTTTTAGGATTCTTCATTCGTGTATGTACTAGGAATTGATCTATAGTTTTATTCTAAAATTCTGAACTGTCAAAGCTGGATTTCATGTTTATATCTTCACTTTCCCAGATAAAACGACATATAGAATTTCCACATAGTCATGGGCAGTTGAAACGAGTCATATAAATCATTTCGGGTTATATGCGAATAACAAATTCGTTAGGAAATGTTTATGTCATTCACTCAACAGAGCTAACTGATGTACGCAACTATGGCATGTGATTTACAGGTACACCATGTATGCATTTCTGTGTGTTGTTTACTTATACTGTTGTCCAACGCAGCCTTGTCACTGGCAATTCAAATAACAAGGTTTTAATAATTTAAGAACGGTTCTATTGAAATAAAAATGTACAGTACTACTTAATTAATTCGGATACATTGTTGTCAACTAAATAACAATATGCTAACACAATTTGTTGTAAGTGCACGCCACGTTTTGAATTGCGTGCGTAATTCTAGAGCTTTTTACACAAGTTTGACTGCAAGTGTGAATTGTTTAATTACGGCAGCCATGTCTATTGACATGTTTCGAGGCAGTAACTACTAGAAAAATGTCTTTGCTGATATTTTTTTCGAAACTCTGTTTTTTGTTATTTTTTCTGCTCTTTAAGATTTTTTTTCTCGAAATAAACTTTTTATTATTATCACTACTAGTATCTCGAGACTAATAGACTGGACACAATGTTTAGTTGAAAGGTTTACATTATTTTACGTCAAATAGAAAGGTCAATGCACTTTTATAATGCTAATATGAGTTCATGGTAAGGATATTAAACTCTAACATGTGTTCGATTTGGCGGGAAATCAGTAACTTATTTGCGTTAGAGTTATCACCTCATAGCTCAGGGGTCACCTCTCAGGTGTTTGACCGTACTTTAGAGGTTTTCCAAACGATCTAACACTGACCAAATATAGAGGTCTATATTTTACGTAAAATCGGGCAAATATAAGATAAAGATTACTAAAATAAAATATTAAACATTATGAACAGTATAATCTTAATAACTGCTTCCCTAGTAGGCCAGACACACTCAGTAGTACGTCATCAACTTTTGTTCACAATTGCTCGGCCATGAACTTCTGTCTGCTCCTTGAATGCCAATACGGACATATATGGATTATCAAGGCCTTAATTTGATCCTGATCTTGATAAACCAATCTGCTGATTAAAAAACCCTGAATATTTAACATTTCACAAGGACTCCGAGAAACTAGTAGGTAACTAGTAGACCTGTCCTGTCTGGCCATGGTGAGTCTTCCGTGAGACACCTATATATGACACCTGAACTAAAAAAACAGTCACACGATGACGTGTCACTCGGGATTTCATGTAAATTAAAGCGCAATTGGGGCCTGGCCAGTCCTTTCGACTGAAGGCTAAAGATGTTAATAGGGGAGGGGTAGGTGAACCTTTCTGGTAAGCGTCAAGTAAGATAACGAACCAATATAACGGGATTATGTAAACCATTTTCTTTTGCACGGACTTTATACTAAAGTAATTACTGGCGTGGTTAACACCAGATTTCGCGCCCTTGGGTACGATTGTCCAACCAGCCTTAGTAGTCAGCCCTCTTGCTTCAAACCAGTACGTGGATGTCTCTAGAAGAGCATGTATGTCTCGCACATATTGTTGATGACGATTCTTCAAGCAGCCTCGTCAGATGACTCAATTATCCTCGATATAAAATGCGCCAATCAAGTTGTATCGCACTCTTGAAATAACCCTCCACTCCTCCGCTCATGTCCACGGACTCACGTCGTAGGAGTTAACTGTAATAGTACAGGAATTTTGATGAATCTGACTAACGTAGATGATATCCTGTTGTTGTTCTTGGCATGCACCATTCGTGATGTGCACCTTGTGTCGCATGACGCTTTTTACAGTGCCCTTTCTACAGATACTGCACGCGGTACTAGGAATGAATATATGATTCATGATGACTGTATGATAATATTTGATACCGGACAATGGTGCGTTACAGTATTGCAATGACGTCATTGTTTGCACAGCGATATACATCTAGGTTCACGCAGGTGCGTATATGGCGGTAAATATCCAAGTTTGCGCATGCGTGCAAAGTAACGTGGGTGTGCTCTTCGTTAAAACACAGAGTGGTTTGGAAGGTGTCCTCAATAGTCGCACGGAAAGTTATCTAAATCTGCCGTATATAACTCATCTGTCTGCAGCACGTTGAAATACAAGGGACCTGCGTGCGTCTTTGTTTTTGGATCACTAGTCAATCTTCTGGAATAGGTAAGTAAGTCAGGCGCGGCAACGCGGAAACACACCACGTGCAGTTTACAAGGCGTCCCGACCAGACACCTTTGTGCATATGGTAAATCCAATTGTACACTGGTACTAATCATCAAAGCGTCTTATTTTCATTTTCTGAGGCAGATCGTATGGGATAAATTTGCTAGATTTTTTACAAACTACAATATCAATGTCTAGTAGGTTATAAATTGGATCAAGGGGCATTCTCGTTAAAAAAAAAAAAAACCTTTACCGTGCCTCTTCAAATATTCAAAGTCCACTGTAGGCAAACACCAGTGAAGTATGCTCAGCTTAATCAGACCGTCTATATATTCATGGCAATGACTTTATATTTTAGACAAGATTATGATCAAATGCGAAATTTTCTCCTGATCACAAAACAGAGATGACTGGTTTAAGTACTGAAGCGTGTCGACAATTTTAATCTAATCTACTGAAAGGTCCGCTCATGACACGTGGAAGACATCAAATAAAATACAATTAGACACTCTTCAACTTTAGAAATTGTCAGGTCGGTTTTACATCGTACAATGTCTGGGTTAATATTCGTCATTACAAAAATACATGCATTGTGAGTTGTTTTGACCAACGCCAATCATCGTCCCACGCATCTGCATAGTTTAGTACTTACGTAATTTTGTTAAAACAATGCTATTTTTGGCGATGACGTCATGTCGGCAACCTGTAAATTTCCCCATCAGATATTGTACTTTAGAGAAATTGTGTGATATTTGTTACAATTAGTTATTATTGTAATATCCACGTGGTTCGTGAAACAAACAAGTCTATATTAATAGAGATGTTTGCCACAAACATATCATATTATGTGATCAATGACAGAAAGATATATACCCTTCGATGTACAACTAAGTGAGGTGAGGTGTATTTAATTAACAATCATATCGTGTTTTTTACATGTCTAACAAAGACCGCCAAACCTCAAGCAAGCCAAATCCCATATCACTATGAACAAAGGAAAAATATGAAAATAAAACAATTAATATTCAATTTCAAGTAGCATCATTAGGTCATTTGAATTTTAGTCTCGCGCCCTGCAAATCAGAGGCGCACCCCACATATTTGAAGCCGCGAAATGACCGAATCCAATATTGAAGAACATTGTGCAAACATTGGCTGTTAGATTTACCTTTCCTGCAGACGCTACTTCATAAAAATGACCCTGCAGAAATTAACATTATTGTTACACATTAACTAATGGCTAGCTAAGCGTGTCAATGGTCCTTTGTGTGTGCATGTATTTACTCTACCTTTACGACACCAGGTGTCACCAAATTTTTAGTCATGTAAAAGACAAAGTTAGAAGTTTTTCGATACTTTTTATTCATTAAAGTACATGAGCCGCATTTGGTGTTAATTTACATAATTATGAGTCAAAATGTCGCACATGGGGTACACGTGGGGGTAAATTCTAGAATCTTAACGATTGGCGAATGCAAACAAGTTCTACAGACAGAGGGATTGGTTTTGGTCATTCAAAAATGTTCGAGCTGTTTGCATGGTATTATAATCTGCCATGTTGGATGATGTATTACTACATATTTACTCATTTAATATCAATTTGGGCTCAGTATTACATGGTTAAAACAAACTGTCGAAAAACACAACATGTGCCCCTTCGTAACATACAATTAGCCACATTTAGCTGGTTCCTGTCGTAACATGGAATACCCTAAATCATTGATATTAATATCAATTTGTCACAAAACAAAAAATTATATACTACTATGAATGTAGTACGCGTCCCGCCAGGTACGAGGCTGTCTTGTGAGTGCGCATGCGTTTTCAGTTATTTTTTATAAACGCATGCAGTTGTTTCTTTGTTTTGTGTTTATTAAGCTTGCAATTGTTCTTGCACTAATAATATCACGTGATTATATCGACTTGAATCTTGTAGATCAACAGATTGAATCGACACATTAAATATCAAACGTGTACATTACCACTTAAAGTAAAATGCGACTGAACATATAAGATCACTGGCGTCTTGAAAATAAACTAGTATAGTCAATAAAATGACTATAGTTCATCAACAATATATTTAAAAAAATCACGTGTCCTTATTTTGTTTATTTTTTTCAAATATTGACGAACCTCTTAATATATTACTTTGGAGATTGATGTAGAATCATAACATTTCCCCAATTATAACGTGCAATAGCATTGTCATTGTAGCTACATTCATTATCAATAAAATGCTAACTATTTCAAATATTGTACCTCTCTTTTACAGGGATATTCACGTAAACCACCCTGGAAATGGCAACCCGTTTCATTGCTGCGCTGATCTTTGTGATTAATTTTATTTTGATAACGGCTAACGAAGGTAAGAGGCTCTCATCATCATTTTATCACACGAACATCGATATGCATGTTATAAGATTTATATGAAATGTACCGTTTGTAATCATCCCAATAATATAACTTCTTACAATATCATTTTAGAGGCCGCCTAATTTTGTTTGTTTGGAATTTTCAAATAGTTCATCATATTATATACAATATGGCCGCCATTTTGAGCTGCCACTGCTATGGGGTAATGTAGAAAATAATTGAGTTCAGTGACTCGCGGTCGTTCGATCGTGTTCACGTTTTGAGCAAGAAGAGAACTGTGGGTTTTTGCTAATTACCATATGTCTTAACAATCACAGCATGTTACATTACCTATTTGCTTGTGGTTACAATAAAAAAAAAAAAAAAAAAAAAAACATTTACAAACTGCGACTAGGTGCTGTTTTCTATGGCAAGTATAATGCACACAAACAAACTAGATAAATGAAGACGGTAGAAAATTCATCTGGACGAAAAGTTTTTTTCGCGAACTAGTTACTTAAACAGATATAGTGCTGTTTTTTCTTCAATTTCAATGTAACTCTTGTGTCATTTCACTCAAGTAACTTTACCACGTACTACCCAGTCTCTGATAAAGTTGTTCGTATTTATAAATTGTTCGGTTGTCAGGAACTTTTTGTTTTTACTTATTGTAGCACGTGGTCAAACAAAACAAATGTGACGAGATCACAATCAGCGAATATATAGTATGACTCTCCCACCTGAGTCACAACAACCCCTTGGTGGCCACTACTTAACATATTATTTTCCGTGGGTGACAGAATCCGTACCATGCCCGATTACCACCAATCCACCCACTCGATAAACCACTATTACCACTCAAAACATTGCTAACAATATTACTCATAGCCAATCCGCCCACATACCATTGTTCTTGAAGTGCGACTCTACAGCCTCTGGGACTGCACCAGGGTGTCACAAGGAATGTTATTGGAATTGTCCACCCATCGTTTGTCATTCATGCAGTCATTAGCAAAGGTGGCAATCCTATGTTATAAGCTTAAGTTCACCATTTTCTACCATGAAAGAATGTATTATCACTGACAGTTTTGAATTACACAATGATCAACAGTAAATTGAATGACTTCATGGTTGTTTAAAACATGTCTTCTTACCGACTTTTAGACAAGAATTACACTCAAACATTTGTCCAACTAATCAAGTAAACCAGGAATCGCATTCCACAAATATTCTTGTTTGTATAGTACAGAAAAATAAATTACTACTTACATTCTGAGTATAGAAAATATATTTTTTCGCAAAGCACTCCAATTTGATAATCATTTTCCGTTTATATATTCGGATCGGCGATTTAAAATCTAAAAATAAAATTACATGCATATATTTCGCTTTCAAAACCAGGATTTAAAAATTGACGACATTGGTATACAGTAACAACATCTTCCCCAGTACACGTGTGAGCGATATCACGTGAACACAAGTGAACACTTCATGCATTGAATGACAAACAAACAGACATAAAAGTCATTTTGATAGCACAGAGGTCATTTTCGAACAGCCATATTTTATATCGTTCGTTAACATGTTCTCTATTTGCCTATTTTATGTTTAATATATACTAGTATTTACATCTAAGTGAAATGTGGTATGTTGTAGACTTAAGAAGGAAACATTTTGAAAAATGCCCTAATCGTAAAAATTTAGAAGAAAACTATTTGAAAAAAAACTATGTAGATTTGCATTCAAACTGTCACATTTTCAGTTTCTTGCAAACTATATAATAAATAATTTATGATGGCCACAATTATTCCGAAATAATTCCAAGTTTTTCATCCTTGTAGCAAGAAATATCACCGATATAACAATGATGGGAATTGTTTATATTTGAATAATAGCCAAGCCAAATATGGTCATTTGAAAAATAAATGAGATTTAAAACCGTAACATGTAAATTTAATAGTGTGTGATTTCACGCCATCCTCTGAATAATACAACATGTTATGGACATAAGGGCTTATTTATTTATTATACAGTATTGTTTGAAACAAAACTTAATTTGTTGGTTTGTTGATAATAATCTTTACAGATCTCAGAGCTGAGCAGTTCGAGATAACCAATGAGCTGATACCAGAATATAGACCAGCAGAAGACACATCCATTACGTTAGATCTCATCATTAAGAACGTGGGTGACATAGATTTGCATTCCTCACCCGAGGAGATTCCACATTTCTACGCACAGGCTTACCTAGCTGATAACGTAGAAGAGGAAAATGCACACCAGAAATCAGAGCATTTTAATCTCACAATTACAGATGCCAATGTGTTTGGAGCCTTCCCACAGCAAACAAAAGTGAACCTGACCGCTATAACAGGTACCATCAAGGTCGATGCCGAACACTGTCTTCACTACACACACATGTGTGTGCAGATTTACCCAAACAAGACGGACAAAAATATGACAAACGATGACTTCTGCTTAAAAGTGGGAGTACCACCACCTGGGGGAGTTGGTAATTTATTCTGCACAGGTGAGGCCAATTTCACAGTAATTTACCTTTCACGAATATGTCTAATAATTCCAGTAATGAATATTCATGAGCATAGTTTAATTATTACACGATTTTTTTAATCTCAGATTTGGTTATCGATTTCTTCAACATCACGTCTCCCACGGCGGTGACGTACAAGGCTGGTGTGGAAGAAAAAATAACTGCTTCAATCGGTGTTAAGAACCTTGGAGCAGTCGATCTTCCTTTTGAGGAAGCATCAAGTCACTGGGGTATTGACCTGTACCTACAAGGCCCAGAAGCATCTATTGACCTTGGATACGTCAGAGTCAAATCTGGGGAGAGAGAAAAGCCTCACCAGGCATTCTATGGCCGTAATCATCCTGAGAATCCAAGCAACGTGGTGACCGTCAATGATGTTGCATTAGAAGTGCTGCTGGATAAGAACAACTGCGAGAAGTACCAAGAACTCTGTCTACGGTTGTTGCCGAGTGTGACTGCCCGAAGCGATTCCATGGATGACGACGAAGAACGATGTCTAGCATTCAATTCGATGATAGTAGACGGTGGAGCTGGCATGAAAAATTGTAAGTAATGTATTGTTGGTAACAATTTATAATTTTCTTGATCAATGCTCGTATGGGCTTCCTGGCTTTCTTTATTGCAATGTAAATGTACATTCTTGTGATAAAGTGTATGCATGTAATGCTTAGTTTGAACTTTGCACTATACCAAAGTGTCACGTGGTATCACTGTGTTTCCCGCAGGTACAATAAAACAGGAGCCATTCCTGCGCGAGGTTAAGACTAATCATCAGCCCGAGCAACCTGCTGGTGCAGCAATGACCACCGTTTCCCTGATCGCCGTTCTCTTCTCAGTCTTTGCTACCAAGTTCATATAGGAGGCGTTAACCACCATTTGTTCAATTTCACTTTTAGGTGATTTTGTGAAGACAGAGACAAAGTCAGAGAATAAGCAACAAGTTGAAATAGTAGGGGATAGCGAGCCTGACGCTGGGAATGAAATCGTGGGAAACTCTGTAATAACACTTGTGTTAGCTGCATATGTGGCGTGGTTCTTGTAGAACACAGTGCGATATCAGAAATGAGATTTCTAAGAGACCATTTCATCTGCTGTTGCAGTAACTTTATTTCTACTCTATGTAACCTTTGCTATTTTAGATATACGCGTCGTACATATATTATAAAAGGTGTTGTTAGAATTCATGCAAATGTTATGAACAGTGACGATCCAAAATCAGATCGAATTTTGTATATTCCAATTAATGTAATCTGCTATATTTAGTCAATATTAGGTTACACTTAGCATCTTCTTAGACATACAGATTTGTCATTTCTTGAATATATTTGCATTTTTCTTTTATTCTTATATTTTGCGAACATTTATTTTTCATAACAAACCTAAACAGGACATACACAAATATATTGAATGGTTGATTATATAATCTTAGAAGGATTCTGAAATTGATCGAGAAATTTTAATATAAGTACAGCACGGTTATTGGTCAAAAACAATTATAGAGTGCTCCCTACCACGTACGCGCTTACAATTGCATTCAATTCTGTATGTTCTGGGGATAATATCTCACTGACCCCTGTAATTATCATCATTGATTTGGGCAATTGTTGCTAAAAATCTAAGAATTCTGAAAATCTAATTTAGGAGTACCTCCTAAAATAAAGAAAGCCGTACAAATATCAAAATACACTTACAAATAGTTTTGAGGAATCACAAAAATGCAAATATTTAATTTGGTGATTTGATAGCACGATTTTTGGCGATTGCAATCTAACTTCAGTTATCCAATGTTGCCAAGCCAACCGATGTACCATTTCTCACAATAATGAGTGGGAGGTGTTCCACATATTATCAAAGTGTGAATGCAATTCTAGTTGGCGTTAAACAAGTTTCTATCAGGTTTAGACTATGATAATAATATATACATTTTACAATAATAACAAACGATTTCAACTGTTTTTGACAACATCCACATAATATATATGGTGGTACATATTTGTTTTTAAAGTTTAAGGGTTATTAAATAATCACTGAAGCCTGTACTATCTGTATTCATAGATAACTATTAGAGACAATTATTAAAAAAAACTTTTTTTGAAAGCTCTTTCTGGCCACCGTACTATTTACTTATATGAGTGTGTATCGCAATACGTTCGCAATGGACCACAATAGTAACTTTTGATTGTATCACGTATTAATCTTGTTCATATTTGTCAAATGTTTTGTGATGATCGTGATTTAAGCACATTTGTCAAATGTAAAAAACTGTAATGGCGGCCATTTTGTCTTCAACTAAGACCTGCTTATGTAACTAATATATGCGAGTAGTCGCCTTGATTGAACAGACTATATATTTTATCTGATATATTTATCAGTTCCGAAATATGTTAAGTTATATTTAGCACATTTTTTATTGCTGCTGTCCAATAATACACCAAATAAAACTAATCTAGTTTTGACAATAACAATCGTCATTTGATTTTTTCGAAAATTATCAGAACGATTGTCGCCCACTGGCACCGATGTTTTGATTTTAACGCTTATTAAGAGCACATGTAAGTATATATAATGAAGACTAAGCAATGTAGGTTGGATTCTTTCAATTCTTGATTTCGTGAAGAGATCCAAGACTCGGAAATTGCCTGTAAAATCCACGGTTTTTAAGGTCAACATATATAGACCGTAACTAGATACATTGACTATGAATAGTGTAATTATATTTATAATAATAATCATGCAGCGAGGTTAGATTAGACAAACCGGAATTACCCAAACAAAGGTGGGGAATTGCATCACATGAAGATTCGAATAAACCAAATTCTATTCTAAGAGCCAAATTTAACCGAACCAATCGAAAGTTGCCAAATTGAAAATAATCATCTGTAATGTTATCAACTACTCCAGGAATTAAATTACTCATTACATATTTTTTGTCAAGGTTACTTGTGTAGGATGTGGAGACATCTGAAAAAATAACTTTGAAAAGCAGGCCTACATAGTAGTTAAATTATTACACTTAGCGAATTACGCTCGTAATATAGTAGTTAACTTATTACACATAATGAGTAACGTTCGTATTATATAGTGAGTTACGTTCGTAATATAGTAGTTAACTTATTACACATAATGAGTTACGCTCGTAATATATAGTGAGTTACGCTCGTAATATATAGTGAGTTACGCTCGTAATATAGTAGTTAACTTATTACACATAATGAGTAACGCTCGTAATATATAGTGAGTTACGCTCGTAATATATTAGTTAACTTATTACACATAATGAGTTACGCTCGTAATATATAGTGAGTTACGCTCGTAATATAGTAGTTAACTTATTACACATAATAAGTTACGCTCGCAATATATAGTGAGTTACGCTCGTAATATAGTAGTTAACTTATTACACATAATGAGTTACGCTCGTAAGATAGTAGTTAACTTATTACACATAATGAGTAACGCTCGTAATATATAGTGAGTTACGCTCGTAATATATTAGTTAACTTATTACACATAATGAGTTACGCTCGTAATAAATAGTGAGTTACGCTCGTAATATAGTAGTTAACTTATTACACATAATGAGTTACGCTCGTAATATATAGTGAGTTACGCTCGTAATATAAAGTGGGTTACGCTCGTAATATATAGTGAGTTACGCTCACAATATATAGTGAGTTACGCTCGTAATATAGTAGTTAACTTATTACACATAATGAGTTACGCTCGCAATATATAGTGAGTTACGCTCGTAATATAATAGTTAACTTATTACACATAATGAGTTACGCTCGTAATATATAGTGAGTTACGCTCGTAATATATAGTGAGTTACGCTCGCAATATATAGTGAGTTACGCTCGTAATATAGTAGTTAACTTATTACACATAATGAGTTACGCTCGCAATATATAGTGAGTTACGCTCGTAATATAGTAGTTAACTTATCACCCATAGTGAGTTACCAAACGCTTCAGCGTGGTATTAAGAGTTTGTTTTCAGGGGTGGGTGATACCAAGGTGGGAAATGGATGCACATAAGGGGTTAATTTCTTGAATTGCAATATAGAGGGTTCAGGCCGAAATACAATATATAGTGTTTTCATGTTTCGTCTGATATTTCTGTAGTATTCTGCTGCTGTAAGTAATGCACGATTTGTTCCGAAATTCAGTATTTTGTGTACATTCCAGGGTTATTCGTTTTTTGCTGAAAACACCCCTATTTTTTAATGGCAGAGTCGAATAGTTTCACGCCCACTGGGAAATCTGCATTGTTGCTTGAATGAGAGCTAATTAAACACATTTTCCAGACCGGCGAAAGAGTATGCAACAGCCAATTTTAACAGCCTGTCACATGATTTTATTCTGAATGTCAACATGAAAAGAGGCTAGTCCATTATACGCAGGAGTAATTGGGAGTAGAATATGTGAGGGATAGTATTGACAGAGATGTGTATACTGGAAAGTAATAACTATCATACTTTTGCACTCTGAGCATTCCTGTTTTAATATATTGGTTTGAAAATGT